GGCACCACACACCACGCCTCAGCTCTCCTTGCCGGGATGGCTGCCCCAGGACGGTCCCCCGCCTCCTCAGCCGCACGGGAGGGTGGAAGGAAACCTCTCTCTGGCTGTTCTCACAAAGTGCATCTGTCCTGCTCGCGCCGTTGGAGACCCAGCTTCCACTCGGACCGAAAAGCCTCGGGAGGAAGAACCTGCCTCCAGCAAGACCTGAGCTGGTTCTTGCTGGCAGGATCCCTGCAGTCTGGAGCTTCCTTTGGAGGTTGTTGCAGCAGGCGCCCAACTCCAGCAGCTGCAGCTGAAGCCTCCTCCCAAGTGCCCGTCTCTGTTAGAGCTGCAGGGTTTCGGGGCAGAGGCCAGGCTGCCCATGTCTGCACCACTGCCGGGCGGGGGATCCATTTGGGGCAGGGATGAGCGTCTGGGTGCCAGAGGTAGCCCCTTCTCCCTGCCGACACCCCCCAGCTCCGCCATGTTGGTGGACCCCCATGTCTCCACCACCCGGCGTGCTGCATGCAGTGGATCCCAATCTTCCCACCACCTTGATGACTGCAAACCCTTTCCAAAATTAAGATGTTCCTCGCTGTATTGAGAAGAGTCAAAGCAAGTAAAGTTTGCTTGATGAAATACAGTAATTACCAGTATGAGGCGGGGTCTTTGCTCTGGCAAAACTCAGAGTGGAGCCAGCAGGGGTTTTGCCAAGGATGGTGGCACACTCAGGCCTAGCTGGTTATAAACATGGCTTCCCGACAGCCCTGTGGAGGCTGAGAGGGGCACCACTTGCTGGGGTTACTGATGAACAAGCGCAGCTCCGCAGCTGCTAATAGGGCTTTCGAGCCACCGTGTGTGTCCCGTGGACTCTGCTCTTGGCCTCCAGAGGAAGGAGAGCTTTCTCCTGACCACCGCGGTGGGACCAGCCCCTCCTTTCCGAGGGCTCTCATCTTCTTCTCCCTCCTCTCCTCCCAGATCTTCCAGCCAGGTAAAAATCACGTAAAGGAGCAGGGGATTTGTTTTCCTCATTGTGTTTCTACTTCCTGCAAAGAAATATTTAATTTTCTCGTTCTGCGCTGAGGGATAAGGTTCAGATAAGGGAAAGACACAGAAAGAGGCAGAAGGCTTTTTAGCCCACAGGTTGTCCCACCACAGGATGGTCCAGTGAGACACCGAGTCATGGCCGCACTGGGTGCTGGTGGCCTGGAGCCATCCGGGGCCCCGAGCCGTGGGGACGTGGCATGGCAGCAGGCGTGTGCATGCTGCTTGGCAGACAGCGAGCTCCTACATACCCTCCCCACCCTGCCTGCCCTTGTGGGACCCGACACCACACCGGGGCCTCTCATCTTGCCACCCCAGCATCGCTGGTGTGACAACACAATGTGGCGAGGACGGGGAGGGCAGGGCCCGGCTGCGTGGGCCCACGCCACTGCTCTCTCTCGAGCAGCTCTACCTTTCTGCTGCCGGAGATGAAGTCTGGAGCAGGAAGGGTTGTGCAGCCTGTGTCCCAGCAGGTGCGATACCGGAAGGGCTAATTCCAGTCACTGCACAGTATGCTGTTGTTTTTCCCTAAGGTGCCACAAATCAGTTGAAAACCACAGGCTTGATGCTGTCATGACACTGTAGCGTGGGGGACTGCTGCATTTGTTCACAGCTGGACCAAACTGCGTCCTTGTGTTCAGCAAGTGCCACTTCCAAAGTGACATGGCTGCGCCTGCCTGACTGAGTGGCTTTGACTTGATCCACCCTCTTTCCACCTCCTTCCCAAATCTCTTCCAAATTAGTGAAAGAAGAGAGGGGCTTCATCAGAAGGCTGATAGGGACATCTCCCGTGGTGTGACCCAACCTCTCACATGCTGGAAAAGATGCCTGGGAGGTCTATAAGGAGATGTGAGACCCTATTTAGTCATGGGTGCCATGTTGCAAGGTGGGGTGATTACCCTCATTGATGGCATACATATCAAAGCACCCAGGGCAAGAATAAACAAACATCTTTGGCACTGTGCTCGTCTTCCATTAGCCAAAAGGCAGGTGTGTGTGTGGGGATATAGCAAGTTTTCCAGCCGTTTCCCTGAACTCATCCCTGATGTTGCAAGAACTGCCTAGCTGTGAAAACACAGCCTCGCCTTGATTTATGCCGCTTGTGGGTAAGATGACTAAGAAGAAGAAGAGGGGGAAAAAAAAGAGCAGAACAGGAGCAGAATTTCCCAGTGGGAGCGTGATGTGGGTGTGTACCGATTTGATGGGACAGTCAGGTTGGGGAAACTGCAGCCAGAGCTTCAGGCGGTAGGAAGACGAGACCACAAACCACATGATATGTATCATGATGTTCCACCTAAGATACAAAAGCTTTTATGGAGACAACTCTTTGGTAACAGCAAGGGAAATTAATTCTTTTGTGTAATTGTAACATTTTTTTCTCCTTCAGATGAGTTCCATATGTCCCCGTGATTTTTTTTCCTTTAAACACAGCAGTTTAGAACGAATCTTAAGTAACGTTTAGCCTGCTTCTAAAGTAAATATTTACAAAAACATTAAATAATGGTTCTGATCTTTGGAAAATGTATATTGCTCCCTACCTGCTACTGTTTTGTGCCTATCTGGAGTAACAGAGAAGCTTTGTAATAAACCCCAAGGCTGTAAAAGCAGTATAACAATGTGATTAGCAGTAATCAGATGGGAAATACTGACTATTAAAAACTGTGAAGAGATAAGAGGGATAAACTGCAAAGGGAAGGTTACATTATTTTGTTTTAACAAATTTCAAGAAATCTAGTGGGGGAATAGGCTTTTAGTCTTACAAAAGCTGTATTGTTTTTTGGAAGCATAATAGTGTTAGCTGATATTTATGTCATGTATCATCTTCAAAGAGGTTTACTAAATAAATATTAATCATTTCACCAACCACTTAAAGGCAACCACTTCAGGGGTGCGGTGAGGCAACAACTTAACAAGTAAGTTGTACTAAGACAGGAAGTGAAGACAGCCAGATTCAATAAGGAATCTATGTGGGTACAAAAAATATTTGTGGAGGCTTTAACAATATCTTTAATCAGGCAAAACAAAACCCCAGTGGAACAGACGGCAGATTTCTTTGTTAATGAGAAGCTGGCATTTCCAACAGGTAAAGAAGATTATTAGATCTGAGAGGAAACAGCTTGTGAGGGATCAGTATTTGCATGCAGGGAAGCGTAACACTTTTTTATCAGAACATACTCCTTGCAGGCCTCACTACCCTTTTGTTTCTTCCTCTCCTCTCGCCTTCCTCCCAGGAAAAATACTATATTGTTGGCCTGTGTCCTATCAGTATTTCTCTGTCTCTGTCAGAGTGTACTTTCGTTTGAAGAATTTCAAAGCACCCAGTGGATTTCAGTCTCTGCATTTCTTATGCCTTTCCTGTAACAAGGAACTCTGGCTGACCCACTGACTTTCCCAAAAGCTGTCCTATGTCGAAACTGGAAGAGTCAGAACCCAGCTTCTCCTTTTTCCATGAATGAAGCCGCAGGTGTCTTCTGCTCCTGCCAGAGATGGCAG